CAACAAAAGGATGTGTGTAACTTGTAAAAACTCGAAATTACAACTTTATCAATGGAAGGTAATCACACCAAAAGAACACTGTCTTAATATCATGAACTAAAGGAAATAACATAGACAAAATTCTCTGTGGGATGCAACTCAAATCTGCCACAGGGAGTGAGGCAATGGGGCAGAGGCACTTATGCGTGTGCACATACATGTGTATTCATGTGTATGCATGTTCATGGGGGGATTCCATCTGCACACATATGTGCATGCACATGGAGTCAGAGGTCAACCTTGGGTGTCACTGCTTTGGCACCATCTACCTTCTTTTAGTGACAGGGTCTTTCACGGTCTGGAGCTCACTGAGCCCACTATGTTGGCTGGCCATGGAGCCCCAGGGATCTGCCTGTCTCTGCCTCCCCAGTATAGGGTTACAAGCATGTAGCACCACACCTAGCTTACATTATTTTCTTTATTTTTATTTTATATGTATAGGAATGTTTTGCCTCATATAAGTGCACCATGGATGCAATGCCCCCAGGAGCCAAAAGAGGGCATCACAGTCCCTGGAACTGAAGTTATGGATGGTTGTGGGTGCTGGGTACTGAGCCCGGGTCGTCTGTAAGAGAAGCCAGTGCTCTTAACCTCCTAACCTCTGAGCCATCTCTCCACATACCTTCCCTCCCCCAACTTTTTAAAAATGTGGTTCTGTGGCTCAAACTCAGGTCCTTGTGGTTGCAAGACAAGCATTTATGGAATGAGCCATCTCCACAGCCCATGATACTCCTGCTTTTAACGGGGGACAGAGAGCATGGGGATCTGAGAAACGCTGTAATGTCCCACAGACACTGCGGTTGCAATAACTGACATGCATTTTCTCCACTTTCTCACATTGACTTTGATCACTTTGGGTTTCGTGGCGGCCACTGTGATGTAGAGATTGAGGACAAACAGTCTAGTGGAGGAGACACACACAGGAGTAAATATCTTCACAGGCCAGGTGCCATAATATATGTGTGTTTAGAGCACAGAGGAGGGAGGGATTAGTCCTTAGCTCTTCAGTTGTGTTTTTACAGTTCTGTCTAGTGGACACCACACATGGATACTGTGAGTATCCAGGAAATTAATTACTGATTAATTACTGTTCCTGTCACTGTTACCAAATACCAGATAGAAATGACTATGGGAGGAAAGATTTATTTTCGCTCACGATTTCTGAGAGCTCAGTACATGGCTGCTTTACCTCAGAAGTTTGGGCAGAATGTCACTGCAGGGGTGTGTGATGGCCTCTCATTGGACTGGAAGCAGACAGTGAGGGAGGAGGAGGCAGGGATAATAGACCTGCCTCCAGCCTCCTACACTCTGTAGCTAGCTGTAATTCCTACAGTTTCCAGAACCTCTCAAAATACAGTTGCCAGCTGAGGAACACACATTCACCCCAGGAGCCAGTACGGAACATTATATATTTAAAACACAAGGCCTCTAACCTTCTAAAATAATGTAAGTACTTTAAATATTCTGTAAAATCTAGCTGGGCATGGTGGTGCATGCCTGTAATCCCAGCACTTAGGAGGCAGAGCAGGCGGATCTCTGTGAGTTCAAGGCCAGCCTGGTCTACATCGCCTGTAATCCCAGCACTTAGGAGGCAGAGGCAGGCGGATCTCTGTGAGTTCAAGGCCAGCCTGGTCTACATAGTGAGTTCCAAGACAGCTGGGGCTACAGGGAGACCCTGCTTCAAAAAGACAAAAAAAAAAAAAAATTCTATAAGACCTACATTCTCACAGCATCCCAGGAAACACATGACCTCTGTGAGAGGATGTGACTGAAACTTATGAGGATGAGATGATTTGATGGAAACTAGAGTCAGGTACCCAGGTCACCACCTTAAATTGCAGTAGCTACAAGCCTAGCCTACTCCTTGACAGTACACTAGGTCCCTCTTTTAAAATCATCCTCCTCCCCCTCCCTCCCTCTCTTCCTCCCTCCCTTCCTTCCTTCTTTCCTCTCTCTTTTTCTCTTCCTTTCTTTTCTTAAAATTAAGATACAAATTTAGGTTTCATTTTAGGGGCCAAATCTACTCAATATTTTCAGGTTCTGAAATCTGTAAGGCATTTGTTCTTAACTGTTCAAGTGTGTTCTCTTTAAACTACTGTTTTAGAGACTGTGATGGTTTATCTTCTTTGTCAACTTGACATGACTTAGAGTCACCTCTGGGTGTGCCTACAAAGACATTTCCAAAGAGCTTAGATTTAACTGGGGTGAGCAGTACCATCCCAGCCGCTACGGTTCTGGACTGAATGAAAAGAGGAAGAAACGATGGGCACCAGCGTGCATCTCTTTTGGCTTCCTGACTGTGGGTGCTGTGACCAGAGACCTTCCATTCCACTCAAGGTTACTGCCTTGCCACCACTCAAGGGTATTCTAAAACTGTGAGTCACAACAAACCTCCCTTTACTTCCTAAAGTTGCTTTTTCATCAGGCACTTTGTGACAGTCACAAGTAACTAAGGCACTCTCCTTCCAGATCGGACTTGGGGTCAAGGCCAGGCTTGGCAATCAGAGACCTTCGTTAAATTTGGCTCTGGACTCACCACTCCCCCATCTCAAAGTGTCAACATACTCTGGCCCTCAGCTCCTGAGGGGCACACAGGGCAATAGGATTAAATATTGGGATGTGGTAAAAGCCTTGCCCTGAGCGAGTGCTCTGTCTCTGTCTCCTTTACCTCCATCCTGGTCTAAAACTGCCCTCTCCCACATCGATTATAGCTTTACATTCTCTCTCCCCCACCCCCGTGTTATGTATGTGCTTGCATATGCATGTTTGCATGTGTGTGGGCATGTGTGTGAGTGCATGAACAGGTGTATGGCTGCATGTACATTTGGAGGCCTGAGGTTGGTCTCAGGAACCAGCTTCCCTCACTTTTCCACATTATTCTTTGAGCCAAAAATCTCTCAGTCGAACTCAGGGCTCACCAAGAAGGCTGGTCTCCCTAGCTAACTTGCCCCAAGGATCCCCCATCTCTCACAGGCGAGTCACCATGATCACCCAACATTTGGGTTTTGAGGACCTGATCCCTTGTCCTCAAGCCTGCATGACCAATGCTTAAACTACTAAGCCAGCTCCCAGCCCTGCTTTTTAAAATTTTGATTTTAAATTTTATTTCTTATGTGCATGAGTGCTTTGTATGTAAGGGCACTTGTGTATGCAATGACCATAGGGGCCAGAAGAGCGCATCGGATCCCCTGGAACTGGAGTTGCAGATGGGCGTTAGCTGCCATGTGGGTGTTGGGAAGTGAACCAAGAAGGTCTTCTTCAAGAGCAGTCATCTCTCCACTGAGCCATCTCTCCAACCCCATGTTTATTATTTTTCAAAATGAATTCTGAACCACTCCAATCTACCAGTCTTTACTCAGAAAGCAAATGTGATAGATCAAAAGCCTTGATGATATATTTTACTTTGATATTTTGAGGCAGGGTTTTACTATGGTAGCTCAGACTAGCCTTGGACTCTCAGTTCTCCTGACCCCTCCTCTTACTGTTGGGATCACAAGTGTGGGCTATCCTGCTTGGCTCCTTAACCTGATGTATAATATTCTTTCCAAACTGTAGGTTATGAGCAATTAGTGAAATATTTTGAGTCATAGGAAACTGAGTCACCCACCAGCCCTTTTTATTTTTACATTTATTTATTCATTCATCCATTCATTTTAAGACAGGGTTTCACACAGCCCAGGCTGGCCTTAAACTTGCTATATAGCAAAGGATGGCCTTGAACTGCTGATCCTCCTGCCTGACCTCCGCAGTGCTGGGATTACAGGTGTGCACCAGCACACCCAGTTTATCCAATGCTGGGACTGGAACCCAGGGCTCTGTGTGTGCTAGCCAAGTGCTCTACACGCTGAGCTACATCATAGGCCCACTGTCCCCCTCTTCTGTGTTTCATGTCTTTCCTCGGGTTCCTCCAACACTCCTTACGCCTCTGGGTGGGGAGACGCCTCTGCACGTGCTGTGTTTCTCTTTGCTTTTGCATCCTCCAGGTGCCCGCTCAGGTGTGACATTTTCAGGGAAACTTCCCCAGACTATACCCCAAACCCCCGTGGGGTGTCCGGTTCCTGTCGACTGACGGTGGGTTTTCAGTGATTCCTTTAGTCGCATGCCTTTGGACTAACAGCAAGCTTTCCCTATGGGCTGCTGTCTTCACTACCCGGAGACCCTGCTTCTGTGACCACTGCAGTCACCCAGGGCCTAACTCTGGAGGGCACATGGGCAGTGGGAGGAAGAAAGGAAGGAGTGCAGCAGTCGTCTGCAGCCTGGGGTGTTGGCAACCTTTCCCTTGGGGTTTTGATTTGACTTGCAACTAAATGAACCAGAGCAGGGCTGTGCTGTTGGCTTGGGATAGGAACGTCCTTTAACTGGGAATTTATTCATTATTTATCTATTTCTTAATTAAATGTATGTACGTATTTATATTTATTAATTATAGGAAGCGGGGTGTCTCACGTAGCCCAGGCTAGCTTTGAACTTCTGATCTTCCTGCCTCCTCAGTTCGGAGATGAATGCCGGCACCACCCCGTCCGGCTTTAACTGGGTTTCTTAACTTGAGTCTGGTGGGGAAGGGCAGCCTGATCTTCAGATTTCAGAGTCCCTGCGCAGCAGCTGCACAGCTCTGCGGGCATCTCCCGCCCCTTTGCATCCCGGAGGGCCCCGGGGCGCCCACGATCCGGCCCCTCTGCACCCAGCCGGCGACCCTCCCTCGGACCAGGCTGGACCAGCCCAGACCTCGCAGGCTGCCGGCAGCCCGGGCAGGTGGCGGGTCTCCAGCCCGGGCGGGGCGGCCGGGAGCCCCGGGCCTGCGGCCATCTTCGGGGCGGAGGTGGAGAGGGGGCGCGGCCTGGGCCGGGAGCCGCCCCGCAGGAGCC